TCCAAGGTGACTGAGTAGATTCAAACTGCCGACCTTTCATTAGTAGCCAAGCGCTTAACCATTTGTGATACCCAGGGACACCCAGATAGACAAAGAGACAGATAGATAGTGATAGATAAGTAAGATATAGAGAGACAGACAGATGTGTGTGTGTATTTTCATAGACTCATAGGAATTTAGAAGGAATCTTAGAAATTAGTGTCTTATTTATCCAGTGCTGCTATAACAGAAACACCACAAGTGAGTGGCTTTAACAAACAGAAATTCATTTTCTCACAGTTTGAGTTCTGCATTCAGAGCACTGGCTCTAAGGGGAAGGCTTTCTCTGTCAGCTCTGGAGGAAGGTCCTTATCTCTTCAGTTTCTGCTTCCTGGTGCCTTGGAAAGCTCCATGTGTCTTGGCATCTCTCTTCCCGTTCTCGGCTTCCTTCCTTGCTCGTTTAATATCTTTGATATCTCAAAAGAGACTGATTCAAGATATATCCTATACTAAACCTTCCTCATTAACATAGCAAAGACAATCCATTCCCAAATGAGATTATAACCACAAGCATAGAGGATTTACAACACATATTTTGGCAGAACACAATTCAATCCATAACAATAGCCTCTCCATTTTGCAGATAAAGACTATTATCGGGGTTTTTTGTTTTGTTTTTGTTTTTGGTTGGTTCTGTTTGTTTGGCAGCTATAAGCATTTTAGAGTAATGCAATGGCAACTTCAGAATTTTACACGTGTACTAGACTAATCTTCACCTCTTAGTATCTATAAGATTAAGGTAGTGAGTGGGATAGACTGATTCCTGCAAAGTACATTACCAGAAACTTATTTCATGTAGTTGACATTTGATAAAGAGTCTTTTATGTTCAGCAAGGAGAGATCAACTTTCTCTGGAAGGAACAACCAGGCCAGTCTTCTTGACCCAACACCACAGGCCGTACCAGTGGCAGCGAATAGCAACACTGTGTCCAGAGGTTCCAACTGACTCAGCCAGGCAGGCTGGGAGCAGTCAAGAGAAAATCAATCTTCCAAGCTGGGTTTCTGAAACCTCTGGAAAGAAACATTTACATTTCAAATCAAAACATTTCATTACTGAGGAGTGCTGTCTACCCAAATGAGCACTTCCACTCCCTGGCAGACAGGCCAGCTGAAATGTTGTTATTTTATGAATGTGCTAAAAGTAGTAGTCTGAATTTAGTTCAGTGCCCATGCTAACCAGCCATCCTTTGTGTCTTACATGTCTATAAATAATAGCACATTGCTTAACTGATCTTAATTTTGACAGAGTTGCTTCTTTATGGTATAGCTGATATGTATAAGGATAAATCACAACCTTTATATGTGTCCTTCCCCTCGTTTAATCAATTGTTGGGGTTGCAAAGAGAAATTGGACTCAGGTTTGGCTTCTAAGAGTCCTAACCACCATACTAAAAACCAGTGGAATAATTTTAAGGGCATTTAAACTCATCAGGTAAGACTCTTTCCTGTTACATACAGAATAAAAAAACCAAAACAAACTCACAGCTGTTGAGTCAGATCTGACTCATAGCGACCCCTTCCTGGGTTTCTGAGGCAGTGTCACTATGGAAGTAGGTTGCCCATAATGTGGCAATAATCTTTGTCCATAGCAAATGCTGAACTTAAGCTTTTGACCTATCATAAGCATATACATATGTTACTATGAACAAGTCTCTGTCTTGCTACAGATTTTCAAAATTCTTTAGAGTGTCTCAAAGATCTACTGGGATTTCAAAATTTACCTTTGCCTAACGTATACTTGACAGCCTTGTCCTCACTTGTCCTCTCCCATCTGTCTATCCATCCATCATGCCATCTTTTCACTTCTCCCTTTACTTGTCAACATAAATAAATAAATAGCATTATAACATTTATTTATTTATTATTATGCCTACTACATACATAAGGAAGATGGGGCAATCCTACTTCCATAGTGATACTGACTCGGAAACCCAAGGAGGGGTTGTGAGTCGGGTCCGACTCGATGGCACACAACAATAACACATACATAAAGAACAAAATCAAGTCCCTTTCTTTCCTTGTGGAGCTTGAGTTCTAGTGGAAGAAAGACAGACAGTAAACATATAATCAAAGATATGAATAAGATATAAAGGCAGTGTGGAGGCAGCCTAAGCAAGGCGGTTGGGAAGGCCTCTCTGACCTGGTGTGGAAGCAGCCATGCAGGGATCTGGGAACAGCATTCTCGGCAGAGAAGCCATGAAGGGAGAGGCTCTGAGACAGGGTCAAGCTTATGTTCATGGGACTGAAGGAGGACAGTGGGGCTAAGTGAGATGAACCAATGGGAGACAGAGTCAGATGGGGTGAGAAACAGGACCATATCTGGCTAGGCATTAGAGGTCATGGTAAGGGGTTTGGTTTTCTAATTGCAATGGGAAGTCACTGAGCAGTGTTAAACAAGAGAATGGTATCACTCTAGCTGTCATGGGGAGAGTGAACTCTAGGGGGTGAGAGTGAAGCAAAATTGGAAGACAAAGGACCTTTGGGAGGATGTTCAAGTAGTAATAATGGTGACTTCGACTCAAGGTGTGGTAAAACAGGAGGTGAGCAATGGTCAGATTGGGAATTTATTTTAGAGGTAGATCTGACAACCTTGCTGATGGATTGAATGTGTAGGGCAAGGGGAAGAGAAATCAAGGATGGTTTTGCCTGAGTTGCTGGTGACATTTCTGAGATGAGGAATATGTAAGAAGGGCAAGGGTGAGAGTCAGAGTTCTATCTTATACACGTGAACTTGTTGTTGTTGTTATGTGCCATCGAGTCGGCCCTGATTCATAGCGCCCCTCCTTGGGTTTCCGAGGCAGTATCACTACGGAAGTAGGATTGCCCAACCTTCCTTCCGAGGAGTGGCTGGTGGGTTTGAACCGCCAGCCTTCTGGTTAGCAGTCAAGTGCTTTAGCCACTATGCTACCAGAGCTCCTGTGAACTTGGGAATGCCAATATCCCCCCTCACCCCTACCATCTTCATAAATTCAGCAAATAACTGTTGAGCACCTACTATATGTCAAGCAGTCCAGTCTGATAGGCTCTGGGCATAGGGCAGTGAGCAAAGGGAGGCCTGCCCTCAGGGAGCTTTCTTCTTCTACCAGGTATGTACCCAAACCAATGCTTGTAATTGGAAAACAGAGTGAGAGACTCATGAAAATGGAACCAAAAAATGGCTCATCATCTACTTTGATGTATTTTAGGCCTAGAAATTTGGGCACAGAGTAGTCATAATAATATTTTAACTCCCTGTCCAAAAGGGATAATGAAGCTACAGATGGGTATATAAATAACAATAGGACAAAGGGACAAATATTGTCTGATTCCACTTGTATAAAATATGTACCCTAGGCAAGAATACAGAGACCAAAGTTTATTAGTGGTTAATAGGAATGGTTGGGGGGGGGAGGGAAAAAGGGAGACTCACTGTCTAGGGGACACTGAGCTTAAGATAAGGATAATGGGAAAATTTGGAAATGGATACTAGTAATGGTAGCATAATGCCTAAGGCATTTGACTGCTTACCAGAAGGCTGGTGGTTCAAACCCACCAGCCACTCCTTGGAAGGAAGGTTGGGCAATCTACTTCTAGTGATATCATCTTGGAAACCCAAGGAGGGGTCGCTATGAGTCAGGTCTGACTCGAGGACACATAACAACAACAACAACAATGGTTGAATAACATAATAAACATAACGAAAGTCACTGAATTTTACATGTGAAGAATGTTAAAAAGGTAAACGATTTGTTAATGTATATTTACCACAATAAAAAAATCATTTCAAAAAATGGCAGTAAGATGTGCTGGCTATCGATTTGACTAATCATTGAAGAAATTAGCTAATCTGTAAACAAGTGTAGGGAGGTAAAGATAAAACCTTAGTTTACAAAAAAGGGAGTCATTTGCTGCTGGTAGCCTGAGAGCTGATGTCCTCATGAATTCCTCTGAATGTACTTTAAGTCCAAATTGCAAAATGTATGGTCTTTGAAGGCAAGGTTCTGTTTGAACCTGGTTCTGTTTTCCTTGGCAGCAGACACCGTACCTGGGACATCTGCTTGTGGCATATTGAGAGCCTGCAGAAGTGTTTGACCCATGTGGTTTGATCATTAAAGCAGATGTTTTTCCTATTATTGGTTTGGTTCTTTACATTAGGGCAGAAGACTGTTGCTTCATAGGAAGGAGGCATTACCTCATAAGTTTCTGAACTGGGGACTGGTTTGTTGTTGTTGTTATGTGCCGTCGAGTCAGACCCGATTCATAGCGACCCCTCCTTGGGTTTCCGAGGCAGTATCACTACAGAAGTAGATTGCCCATCTTCCTACCGAGGAGTGGCTGGTGGGTTTGAACCTCTAGCCTTCTGGTTAGCAGTCAAGTGCCTTAGGCACTATGCTACCAGAGCTCCTGGGGACTGGCTAGTACGAAGTATACAGACTATGTCTCAAGAAACACAATCTTTTACATAACGGGATACTACTCAGCTATAAAGAAAAATGAAGTCTGATGCATGCCACTACATGGATGAACCTTGAAAAAATCATGCTGAGTGAAATAAATCAGTTGCATAAGGACAAATATTGTATGATCTCACTTATATGAAATAAGCAAACATATAGAAACCAAAGATTATTAATGGCTACCAAGGGTAGGAAGAAGAGGGAGAGAGTTTTTGCTTAGGGGGCATTAAATTTATGTCAATAATGGTAGAATGGTTTAGAAAAGGACAGCAAGAATGATTGCACACGAATGTAATCAATATTACTGTATTATACATGTAGAAATTGTTGAGATGGCATGTAAAACATACGTATGTTTCTTATGTACATTTTTACCACACAAAAAATTTCTAATTAATATTATTTTTAAATCATACTTATTTCAAGTCATTGTTTCTTATAATCAAATTAATTTACATAACTTAGTAGCTTTTAAAAACTGTCTCTGCAAAAACACTGGGTAACTTCTCATATTTATTGTTTCAGGAAAGGGTCACCAAGCTTGCACCACGTCCTCAGTCAGAAGAGGATCTGTCTGCCTTGTTTGAAGCTTCAATGAAACTGTATTAATTTTCATTTTTACTGAAAGAATTACCATTGGCCACCTTAGTTCTGAAAACAGAAGTTCATCTAGCTATAGCTTTGTCTTTTCATCTCTACACATAACGTGCCTGCTACCAGCCCTGCCACAGTGAAGTCTTTGGATTTTAATGTGATTTATTAAATGCAAAAGATTCCCTGATGCTCAAAGTCAAGCAACTTCCATGAAACAGGCTGGACAAATGCCCACGATGTCAAGCCCGTGGGCAAAAACTTAGTGCCCACCAACAGTGTAAAAGTGCAACCTCCTGTGTCCAGCAATCCCATGACTAGAAATTTATGCTATAGAAATACTAGCCCGAGTATGTAAAGAAACAGGGCAAAGATGTTTCTGGCTTCATCCAAATTACAATAAAAATTAAAAAAAAAAAAAATGTTTGTGGCAACAGTTTTTCTAACAATAAAAAATTTGAAATGGCCTAAACTTTCCTCATGTATGTAAATATATGTCTTTGTATGCATAGAAAAGATCCCAAAAGATAAAAAAATTAAAAGTTATCACTAGAGAAATGGATTTTAGGATGTGGAGAATTGAGAGAAAACTTTCATTTGTTTATATGTATTGTTCTCATATGTTACTTTTCTAATTTTAAAAAGAAGGGGAAAAAAAGAAAAATAGCATTTTACTGCTTCTAGTTGTATTTGTCTTATTTTTAAAAAATACTAGTAGCAGTGATATTTAAAAGGTAGAAACAAATCCAAATGTATCACTGTTTTGAAATAAACACTGACACCCAATGTGATAATTCCCTCTTTAGAAATACATTTCTAGTACTGAGAAATTCAAAAGTAAGTCATTTTCTTTTGTTGTAATGGCTTTATTGAGATATAATTGATAATCAACTGCACATATTTAAAGCATGCAATTTGACATGCAATCCTCAGCCTATATGACCATGAGACCAGAAGAACTGGATGGTGCCCAGCTACCCCTGTCAACCTCTCAGAAGGCGATCAGTGCAGAAGATACTGGATAGAGTGGGAGAACAATGTGGAACAGAACACAAAAACATAAAAAAAAGACCAGGTTTACTGGCCGACAGAGCTTGGTGGGACCCCCAAGACTATGGCTCTTAGTTACCCTTCAGGTCTGGAGTTGAACTCACTCTCGGGGCTTTGAGCCAAACAACAGACAGGCATATAGGGTGAACATTTGCATCAAGTAGATACACTCCGTAGAATGATCAGTCATGGGAGAACAGAAGGGCAGTATTTGCACAGGGAGATAGCTCAGGGGCAAGAATGCATAGGAAAGGCACAGGGAAGGAAGGACATAGGAGGGGCACAGGGAAGAGGTAACTACAAGGAGGAAGTGGGAAGAGAGCTGTTAAATTATGGGGAATTGCAATCAATGTCATAAAACAAAATGTGTCTGAACTGCTGTATGGAAAATGAATTTGCTCTGTAAACTTTCACCCAAATCAAAATAAAAATAGAAAAAATAAAGTATGTAATTTGATAGGCTTCAAGATATATATCTCCATGAAACCATCACTAAAATCAGGGGAGTGATTATTTCCACCCTCCCTTCCCTGCACTGTGGCCTGGAAACTTTGAAGGCAGTGAGCTGGAACAATCATAGGCTCACCTCATTTGTTTCCCATCTCTCAGGTCTCACTGTCTTTCATTGCCTAATTTCCTGTGGGTAGAAAGGTTTCATCTATTTTATTCAGTTCGTTGGTTGTTTCAGGTGGGAGGATAAATCTGTTCGCTGTAATCCTGTCTTGGCTGGAAGTTGAAGAAAACGAGTAGAATTTTAAGCTCACATCATTATGTACAGAAGAGGATTTGAGTAAGTTGATACCAGATATCTGATAGATACTTCCTGGAGCCAGTGATGGTTCCATAATTTCCATAAAAGCAGGTCTTAGGGGCAGCAAAAGGTAGTGGGGTTAGGGAACTCATTTCTTAGACTGTACACTTATTTGGGATAGCTTGAAACTCTCTTTCTCTTGAAAAGTACAAATACACTGTTTTTATGTAACATATATATTTATTTGTGGTGGCATGTGGGGCTATTGGAAAGCGTAGGGAATGAGGGTCACTAAAGCCCTCTCTCCTCTAAAAACAAGCCAGAGTAATAATCTACCTCCCTGATCTTCCCACAGAATTAGCCTACAGAAACTTCTACGATTCCTTTTTCCTCACAAAATTTGCCACAGATTTGCCTGCCTGCCCAAGCTTTGGAAGTATATATATCCCACAGTATTTGTGGGTTAACTCATACTTTAAATCGAGGTAAATTTCAATCTTGTAAATAAATTGTATACACACACATTATATATAAAATAATACCAGGTTTTTAAAATAATAGATGAGGAAGACATTACTATGCCATCTTTGGACCCACTTTATAAAAGTCTTTATTTCATTGTGATTTTAAAATAATAAATAATACTTATTGGGAGTTTTCTTTAACTACAAATGTGAAATATGTTCAATGCCAAAAATTCATAATATAAACACAAAAGAAAATGTTGTTGTTGTTGTTGTGTGCCATCAAGTCGGACTCAACTCATAGCTACCCCTCCTTGGGTTTCCAAGGCAGTATCACTAGGGAAGTAGATTGCCCAACCTTCCTTCCAAGGAGTAGCTGGTGGGTTTCAACCACCAGCCTTCTGGTTAGCAGTCAATTGCTTTAAGTACTATGCTACCAGAGCTTCTACAAAAGAAAAATAATTGTTCATAATAATTGTTTCATATTTCATAATAATTATACCATCCAAATGATAGCTACTGTTAAAAAATTGGTAAATGCTCTTCCACTAATTTTCTATGCTTATTGTGGGAGCTCTGGTAGCGCAGTGCCTAAGGCACTTTGACTGCTAACCAGAAGGCTGGTGGTTCAAACCCACCAACCACTCCTCAGAAGGAAGATGGAGCAATCTGATACTGCCTCGGAAACCCAAGGAGGGGTTGCTATGAGTCGGGTCCAACTCAACGGCACCTAACAACAACAACAATGTATATCATATATCTAAGTACATAAGTGAGTATACATTTTTCACTTAGAGATGTTAGCATTAAGGTATAGCTTTAATTTCTACAGAACATTCTAATTCTTTATGCCAAGTGCCCAAAAGGCAAGCTTATAAGGCAATACCAACAGAATTTCAGCTACCTTGCAGACTACACTTAGCTTACATTTCCTCAGCTTTTTAAGAGAATCATGGAATCTGAGAACAGAAGTTGTTGAGTGAGGCAGAGAACTCTACCAATCCAAAGTCTTTCAGGCAACTTTAGTGAAAGTTGTTCATGAATGTCCCAAAATACATTTGGCATAGCAAAAACTGTAAACCATTGAGGGGAAAAAAAACATATATAGAAAAAGTATATATACCCCCAAAACAAATAAACAAAAAAAACTCACTGCTGTTGAGTGGCTTCCAACTTATAGCGACCCTTCCTTGGGTTTCCAAGATGGTATCTCTATGGAAGTAGATGCCCACTGCAGTGTAGTAAATTACTTAGTGTGGCTTTTCTACCCATAAGTCTTTGTAAACTCCAAGGTAGGATTTTCTATGAGCAACTGAGGAGCTGATTGTAAATGTTATCCACGTGGAGTTTTTCTGTTGGGCGTGGCACAATGCAATGTTCTGAGAGGTGCCCACTTTCTCTCCGGTGCTTAGAGTTCTGATGATATGATTGGCTAGTTTGACCACCCTGCCGGGCTCAAAAGGAGGCCTCCTGGAGGCAGAACTCTCTCTGACTGCTGGTTGAGGAAGACGTGCTGCTGAAAGAGACACGCGCCCCTGAAAGAGACAGGCGTTGCTGGGAAAGAGACGCAAGAGACATGCATTGCTGAGTGAGACACCGAGGTACCAGTGCTGCTGGGAAAGAGACTGTGAGAGACTGTTGGCCGAGGGACGGTGGGCTGGGAGAGAGACTGAGCATTTTTCTTGAACTTGAGTTGTAGCCTGGTGCTTCCCTAATAAACCCCATA